CCGAGGGTTCAGGGTCCCTGAACCCCCTGACCTTACAGGACCATGGCAGCTGTGGGCTTTGAAGAGTTCTCAGCGCCGCCAGGCTCGGAGTTGGCACTGCCTCCGCTGTTCGGTGGTCACATCTTGGAGAGCGAGCTGGAGACGGAAGTGGAGTTCGTCTCTGGAGGTCTGGGTGGCTCGGGGCTCCGGGAGCGAGATGAAGAAGAGGAGGCCGCCCGCGGCCAGCGGCGGCGCCAGCGGGAACTAAATCGTAGGAAGTACCAGGCGCTAGGGCGGCGCTGCCGGGAGATCGAGCAGGTAGGTGAGTGCGGATTCCCCCGTTTTGGGGCCCCCTGGCCAAAATTACCCATTTCCGGTCTCTGCCTGTCCACGTGCCAGCCTTCTTTACCTAGCTGAGTGAATCTTTCATTCATTTATTCGCTACCTGTTATGTGTCAGGCACCGTGTAAGGCTCCTGCAGAGCCGTGTGCTCTGTGAGCGGCCCTGACGAGCCAGATCGGCTCACTGATGTTTGTAGGTGCCCTTCATGTTCCGCACTGATCAGGCTTCTCAAGGCTCCCATACCCCTCACATCAGGCCCTCACGTCCTGTTCACTCTGCCGCTTGGGTCTCCCTTGGATCCTTCTGCTCTCCATCCCCATGGCTCCCGCCCCAGACGTGGTTTCTGTGGGCTGCATCACTGCATTGGCTTCCTGGGTGAGAATGAGGAGCGTGCAGTTGGCAGGGACCAGATCTTGAAAGGCCAGGAACAGCAGGGCATGAAGTTTGGGTTTAGTTTTGTTGTTTAAGTGAGGGGGCGCTGTTGGAAGGTTTCAGACGGGGGAGGGCCAGGGTCAGGGCTGGGTATTTGGAAGACTGAGCTTGGTGGTATTAGTCTCTTAGGCCTGCTGTAAGCGAGGACCACAAACTGGGCGCTAAGTAACAGAAATGTACTGTTACAGCTCTGTAGGCCGCGGGTGCAAGATCAGGCTGTCAGCAGGTGTCAGCAGGGCTGGTTCCTTCTGACCGCCGGGGGTAGGGGTGGGGGTGTGGAGAAAAATCTGCTACCTGCGTCTCTCCTTGCATCGGGTGGTTGCTGGTATTCATCCGTGTTCCCCGACTGGTGGATCTCTGCCTTCACCATCATGTGGCGTTCTCCCTGGGTGTGCCTGTCTGTGCCCCAATTTCCTCCTTGTCTGAGGACACGGGCCCACTCACTGACCTCATTTCACTTGATTACCCCTGTGAAGACCCTATGGGCAAAGAAGGTCCGTTCTGAGGTACTGGGAGTTAGGACTCCATGCCTTTAGGGGGGGACACCGTCCAACCCCTAACGGTGGTGTTGGGGCGTTGGGGACAATGGGAGGCTGGTGTCGTGGTCTGAGTTGGAGCAGGGGTCAGGAGACAGCAGGTGAAGAACAAGGACGGACGTTCAAGCCCTCTTCGGATATGAGGAGCGCATCAGGCTGCCTGGAGCAAGACAGATGTTTGCTTTGACAGATGTCGGAGAGGGCCACGTGGGAAGTGGGAGCAGGGACAGTGCTTGGAGCAGGTCAGCTCCGTGTATTAAAATGTACTCCCCAGCAGCTGCACCACCTGTGGCCAGCTGCTCCCAGGCAGCCAGTGACAGCTGGAACGTTCGCAGGACGCTGTCTGCCGCGTGGTCTTATATACGGATACGTGCACGGGTGTGATAGACAGTAGGGAGACAAATCAGATGTGATCCACACAAACCAGATGCTCTACGTCTTGTACTAGGTGACCGTTGGCTCCACCCCGTCCTAAGCTCACCCCGACCTACTTCCTTCCTCAACCACCCCTCTTATCTCTTGTCCCCTGGAGACTCCTCACGTGAATTCCACGATAGCAGTAATATTTCATCCCCGGCATCCTGTGTTCACAGGGCTTCCCAGTACACGGGCGGTGACATCAGAGCAACCGTGGTCATGTGGGAGCACCCACTGTGTGCCAGGCCTGCCCTGGGCTTTACACACAGGACATCTCAGGACGCCCTGCTGCCTCTACCCACCCCCGACTCCCTCAAATGGCAGCAGGGACCCCAAGCCCCGTTTGACACATGGATACCAGGGTCCAAAGGGACTACATCATTTGCTCAAATAGAGCTGGTATTTGAGTTTCTGTTTATTCCACCCCATCAGGAGTAGGTGGTGGTGTTATTCCTGTTTTACAAACGCAGGCTCAGAGAGGTTCTAGGTGACTCGCCCAAGGTCACACAGCTGAAAGGGGCACGCTGGGGTTTGAACCCAGGTCTTTCTGACCCGGGGCAGTACCTGCTCATTCATGACTCGGCCCACACACCTCTCTGCTGGACCTAAAGTAGCCACCGCCTGCCTAATCTCCAGCAAGTGGGCCTGCACGGTGTCCCCCCAGCACTTTACATGGCAGGAAGTCACGCATTCAGCAAATACTGATGGAGCACCGCCCCCGCACCCCTTCGCCAGTTTCTGCTCAAGGCATGGGGACCCAGGCACAACCTGTGTCCTTTGGAGCTTATGGTCTGGTAGGGGAGACAGCGAGCAGGAGAAGTGGATAGGCTAGAAGGTGATGGGGAGTGTTATAAGGGAAACTGAGGCAGAGAGGAGTGGCTGGGTGCACAGGGGGCACGGGAGGGGGTGTTGCAGTGTGGCAGGAGGTCAGGGTGGACTCCCTGAGCAGGTAAGCTCTGAGGTCAGACTTGAGGGCGGGAGCACTGCAGGCGTGTGGGAAGGCCCCCAGGACAAGAGGAGGCCAGCTGGGGCGCGGCGGGTGCGAGGGAGAGGAGCAGGAGGCGCCCGAGTAGGGAAGGAGTGGGTGCAGTAGGCCCGGGGGATGTGGGGCAGTCTGGTTGGCGCCCTGGGTCCCCGCCGGGGCTCCATTCACGTGCATGGAGTAAGTGAGTAGAGTCCAGGTGACCTGTGCCTTCTCCTGCCTCCCTGCAGGTGAATGAGCGGGTCCTGAACAGGCTCCATCAGGTGCAAAGGATAACACGGAGACTTCAGCAGGAGCGGAGGTAACCCCTTGCATGTCCCCCTGGGCCCTGGGCCTCTGCTGCCAGCTGCTGTTTCCACCACCTCTCGTGCTTCTTGGCTGCTTCCTGTCCACCCAGGCCTTGCGGGAAAGGCTGAGCAAGGGTGGGGAGGCAGGTGCGCTCCCTTTGAACGGGACGCACAGCAAAATAGCAGCTCAGAATGTAGAGTCACACGCTTGGTTTCAAGCAGTTTTGCTGTGTGACTCTCAGCAGGCGGCATCCCTCTCTGAGCCCATTTCCCGTCTCACTGAGGTGGCTAAAATCTTGTGGCTGCTGAGGATTGAACAGGAGCTCATGGATGAGCCCAGCCCAGAGCCTCCCGCCACGCACTGTGTCCCTGTGTCTGTGGAATGCGCTGTGACCCGGCCAGTCCTCAGCCCTGCACTCACCTGACCCACGGGACGCACCTGCCCTCAAGCACCTCCTTGGCGTCCAGGTCCCTCACTCACCTGCTTTCCCTGCCTCCTGGCCATTCCTCGCCCCAGTACCCTAGGGCTTGGCCCTGGGTCCCCCCATGTCCACACCTCCACTCTCCAGCACGGTAGCCGCAGGTGGCGATTTAACCCAAGACTTCGTTAAAATTAAAATTTAACATTAATCACAATAAATTTTAATTCACGGAAGTGAAATAGAAAACTCAGTTCCTCAGTTGCACTGGCCTCCATTCACGTGCTCGGCAGCCACCAGTGGTGATTTTTACCCAAACCAACTAAAATGAAATTAAAACTTCCATTCCTCAGTGGCGCTCACCGCACAGTCGCTCAGCACAGGTGGCAACTGACCTCGAAACAAAAAGGACCTCAAAAAGTCAGTTCCTCTGTGGCTGTCGCCATGTGGCAGGGGCTCCACGACAGCCACAGGTGTGGCCAGGACAGGACGTTTCTGTCCTCACAGAGGATTTTGTGTCCAGAACGTCACAGCACCATGGTCCTTTGAATCCTGTCTGCAGCTCTTTGAACTCTGTCCCCTTTGTCAGCCGCCTGCTGGACTGTGACTTCTGGTCACGTCACACGCAGGCAAAGCTAACCCTGACCTCGCCCCCTGCCCCTGCTCCGCTCCCCGTCAGAGAATGAACCCTCCCAGCGGCTTCTCTCTCTCTCACCTCCTCGCCTGATGCACCCTCAGAACAGACCCAGGATGCCAGCACCCTGGGCCAAGGGACTTGGCTCCTTGCCCAACGCCTGCCATGCTCGCCCTGGCCTCCCTGACCCTCCCGAGGCTCCTGCCACAACACTCTGGGTGAATCTTTTTTCCTGGTTGTACCATTAGCCAAGATTCTCTCTCACAGTAAAACCAAGAGAGTTTATGAAAGGGAAGACTGGCCTTTATGGTTAAAACGTTGAAAGTTCGGGAAGGGACCTGCATGTGCTAAGCTTCCCTTAACCATACAAATCAGGGTGATTGTTTTTTTTTGAACGGTCTATCTGGAGCTCAGCCCCGTGCTTCTCAGAGCGTGGCCCCTGGACCAGGAGTCTTGGTACCACCTGCGAACTTGCCAGAAATTCGGGGGGTGGCCAGGAGGTCTTCTAAAATGTAAGACATGCCACTGTGTAAAAACAGTATGGCACTTCCCCCAAGTTTAAAAACAATTACCATATGATCTAGCAACTCCATTTGTAGGTATATCCCCCAGAAGAGTTGAAAGCAGGGCCACTGACGGAGACGTGCCCGCCCATGATCATAACCGTATTCACAGCAGCCCAAACATGGAAGCATCCGAGCATCTCTCTGCGGATGGATGAACACGGTGTGGTCCACACGTAGGAGGACCATCCAGTCTTAAAAAGGATGGTACACCATGAATGGTGAAGACATGTGCTAAGTAAGCCAGTCACAGGACAAATCTTGTGTGACTCCACTCATGTGAGGACTTAAGTTCACAGAGACGGAGAGGAGAGTGGTGGTTGCTAGGGGCAGGGGAGTGGGGAGTCGTTTAATGGGGCCGTTTTACTTGGGGAAGATGCAGAGAGTCCTGGAGACAGATGGTGGTGATTGTTGCACAGCAGTGTGAATGGGCTTAATGCCACTGAGCTGGACATTTAAAATGGTTAAATTGGCAAATGGTATGTTATGTGTATCTCATCACAAATTTTTAAAAATTTTTTCAAAAGTAAAAAAAAAAAAAAAAGATAAAAGGTAAGACAAATCAAGTCACTTTGCTCCAAACCCCACATGGGGTCCCACCAGAGTCAGAGCCAGAATTCTCCTACAACAGCCAACAGGGCCCTGTGTCAGAGGGCCCATCACACTTTGCTCTACCAAGAACGCAGCACACATGCTGCTCCTGCCTCAGGGCCTTTACACTGGCTGTCCCTCCTTACAGATATGTTTTCCTGCCACTCCTTCACCTTCTCAGTGAGGCATCCCCCACCATCTTTTGAGGTCCCAGCGCGTCCTCCTTCCTGCTTTCCAGCTTATTCTGTTTTGTTGATTTGCTGATCGTCCCCCAAGTTCAGCAGGCTCGGGGGTTTTTGTGTGGTTCCCCGATGTAAGGCTAGCACTGAGAACGCGCGGTGCAGAGCAGGTGCACACACACACCTGGAAAGAGACTGCAGGTAAAGCGCTCCGCCCAGGTGCTGGCTGCCAGGTAGCATTCAGAGCTAAGAAAACCCCAAGGTTCTTAGAAGCAGGGACTGGGGGAGGCAGAGGAGGGAGCACCTGCAGGAGTGCTCTGCGCCCGTCTTTGTCTTGCCCTTCGGCGGTGGATGAGGACACCGGCTGACTCCAGGACGTACGCCGAGCACTAGGAGCTGCCCCTGCTAGCTGCAGTTTCACCCCCACGGCAGTGCGCCCGGTCAGTGTTGTCCTGTCCTGTCAACAGAGCAGGAAACAGGTGCAGAGAGGTCCCCTTGTCTGGCCCAGGGTCCCACCGGCTGCTCAAGTACTTGGCACCCAGGGCTCAGACTTGGGAGCTCCGAATCTTCTGGGTCTACGGGTCCAGGGCCACCTTGGCTTCAGAGCTGGGGCTGGGCTGTGGGGTACACCTTCCCCCACCACCAGACGCTGAGGTTGTGCCCCTCCCTGGTGGGCTCTCTCTCGACACAGGTTCCTCATGAGAGTGCTGGACACTTACGGTGACGACTACCGCACCAGCCAGCTCACCATCGTCCTGGAGGTGAGCGCGGCCTCCTGGGGGGCTGGGGCTGGGGGGTTGGGGGGCTGGGCACCAGGACAGAGTCTTCCCCTGCTGCCCCTTTACCCCCAGGACGAGGGCAGCCAGGGCACAGATGCTCCCACCCCCGGCAATGCCGAGAACGAGCCTCCAGAGAAAGAGGGGCTGTCCCCGCCCCGAAGGATGCCTGCACCCCCAGAGCCCAGCAGCCCGACCCCAGCTGAAGGGCCCAGTGGACGCAAGAGGCGGCGAGCACCCCGGGACGGACGCCGAGCGGGAGCTGTGCTGACTCCAGAGCTGGCCCCGGTGCAGGTGGGACCAGGGCTCCTGGGTCTGGCAACAGTGCTGTGGGGGCTCGCAGGCTCAGGGCTGGGGACGGCGCTGGGGACCGCTGGAGAAAGTTGGTGGGGCTGGAAGGGCTGGTGGGTAGGGAAGGAGAAAAAGCCGGAAAAAGCCAGGTGAGGGTTTGGGTGGAAAAGGAGAGAGACTTGGAGGAGGCTAGGGGGAGAAGGTTGGAGCAGAGGGGGGAGGGAGGGTCAGAGACCACGGGGGGAAGGGAAGGCGGGAGTGTTGGGGTTTTCGCCCAGGTGCACAGAGGAAGCTGTCTGAGGAGCCAGAACTGAGGCCGGTGGGCCTGCTCACACCGGCTCCTTCTCTCCCCCAGATTAAGGTCGAGGAAGACTTTGGCTTTGAAGCAGATGAGGCCCTGGACTCCAGTTGGGTTTCTCGGGGGCCAGACAGACTGCTGCCCTACCCCACCCTAGCCAGCCCCCCCTTTGACTGACCCCCACCCCAATAAACTGACCCCCAGAAACGCCTTGGCCACTGTCTACTGTTTCCACCTCTGATCACACACAAGCTCAGGTTCTGGGGTCACTCTTCGCATTTTATTGGCTCAGGGGAGGGGCCTCCTCCATGTCACCGGGGGTGCTCACAAGTTCTTCAGCCACTCCAAGCTTGGGCCCTGGGGGTCCTGGGGGTGGCTGGGCACGTCGGGCATGTTCCCATCATCTCGGAGGGGCACTGTGGGGCAGGAGGGTGGGCCACTGAGACCAGCAGATCTTGGGAGGTCCATAAAGTCTAGTTTGTCAGTTCATATTCAAAGAGGGAAGGGGGGCCCCAGGGGAGAGGTGAGAGAGGGGACACAGAACCAGAACCAGGGAGATAGAGACCTAAGAGGCACGGAGAAGCACAGAGACAGAACGATAAAAATCCAGAAAGGAATACAAATCTGGAACAACAAACTCAAAAGCGCAAAAACAGGAAATGAGTTTTAGGGCACACGGATTAGATCTCAGAAGAAAAAATAAAGTCCAGCCCAGGCTGCAGATTCTGACCCCTGCAGGGGAAAGACCTGCCCTCAGGCGATCATTCCTTCCCCAGCACAGGGAGGTTACCCCCGCCCCCACTCCTGCTGGGGCCAACCCTTTAGCTCCCACTCACCTGGATAGTTGTAGGGCGTGGCCTGGTTGATCATGGTGGCGTATTTGGTGAGGGGGCTGAGGGTGGGCAGAATTAGAGCTGTGGAGAGACAGGGGTGAGGCCCGTAGGAAGGTGGCTTTCAGGTCGGGGTGGGAGCGGAAGGCAGAAGCTGAACTTTGGCAAACTACGAGTCAAGTACATGGCAGGAGGGGAGCAGGGAGGTCCTACACCTCCAGGAGACCCCCTTGGCATTCTGGGATCCCCATTTATCAGCAGAAAGAGAGGGGGTGGGAGCCAGCAATTCAAGGAAACATGGGACCTGGAGGGCAGAGAGGAGGGAAGACATGGGGGTGGTCATGGAGTGAGTACATGAGTGTAGAGGTGGTCAGGGAGTACAGGGTGGTGGCGAGCGAGTGCAGTGTCTTGGGAATCTTCCAGAGGAATAATGAACTGTTACAAACTGAGGAAAGCAGGGGAGGGGAGGGAGGTTGTGAAAGGATCAGTTGCCCAGAAATTACAGTCCACCCAAGGGTGGGAGCCAGGAGTCTGGGGGGCAGGGGTAGGGGGTAAAAGCAATGTTCTAGGCCAGCACTGTCTGACAGAAATACATGAGCCACGTATTTGGTTTTACACTTCTAACAACCACATTAAAAATAAAGTTAAAAGATACAAATGAAGTGTTAAAATTATTTAACCTGGTGTCTTGGAAACATCATTTCAACATATAATCAACACAAAAGGAGCGGAGAATGACTTGTCATACTCTCTGCAATCCGGTGTGTACTTTACATTAGAGCAAAACGTGTACCAGCTCAATTCATGCGAGCTCCGTTTCAGGCGCTCAGTGGCCAGTGTGGCCCGTGGCTGCCCTAAGGGACAACTGCTCTAGAACCTCACCCGCGGCGTGTGGCCTACAGACCAGCAGTACTGACAAGATCCGGGGGCCCGGGAGATCTGCCCCATCCCAGGCCTATACAATGGCAGCCTGCATCTTAACAAGACCTCCCGCACATTAAAGCGGGAGCAGCCCTGTTCTAGAACAGAGACCGTCAACAGAACCCCTGAGGGATTTTCACAGGATAGCATTCCCCAGCCCCACCTCCACCCCACTCAGCTCCACACTGAACGTGGGGGGTGGGGGTGGGGGTGGGGGTGGGGCGGCCGAGGGTAAAAAGTGGGTAGGATTCGGACATTTTTGTTGCTCAGGTGTTTTTAGTGCACAGCCTGGGCTGCGGACCTCTCCTCTGGGGGACCGTGGACCTCCTGGGTAGGTGTGTACGGGGTGGGAAGAAGGGGGCTCATGAAGGGGTCATAATATTGGGGATGGGGTGGGCAAGGGGTCGTCGTGGGGGTGCCGACACAGGAGGGGACCACAGAGCGTTGAGGGGTACTGGAGCGCTCGTGGGGAGCGACGGGATCTTGGGGGCGAGCGGGGGTGATGCACGCTCACGCACCGAGGCCCCCGATGGTGAAGGACGCAACCAGCACCGGCTCCTTGGCCCAGGCATCCTTGAGGAAGGTGGCGAGTCCTGGAGGGGCGGGTGAGGAGGGTCATTCCTGCAGGGGACGCCCCCGGTGACCTCTAACCCTCTCGCGCCGCCCCCGCCCTGGAGGAGCCCTCCCCTCTCGTGACCTCGGCGTCCCCCTCCGGCCCGGACCCCTCCGCCTCCACGGAGACTCCGCCGTGCCTCAGCCCCGGCACCACCGGACCCCTCGCGCCCTTATCGCCCTCACTTACTCCCGGCCATCTTGGTCGCAGCGGAGGCGGTGGCTGCGGCAAGCACGCGGAGCACTCTGGGAGTTGTGGTCCCCGCGCCGGAGTCTCCGCGCTCTGAGCCTGCGCGTGCGCCCTGGCACGGCACTGCGGTCCAGGGCGGGGACGAGGACGCGGAGCGCTCTGGGAGTTGTGGTCTCCGCACGCGAGCCTCAGCCGTCTGAGTCCGCGCGTGCGTACTGGCGCAGAACAGCTGTTTTTGAAGCGGCCGTGAAAACGCAGGCGGCGCTGCAGAATTAAGTGCAAACCGGTCTCTTCACCTAGCAGTCAAAGCCTGAGGCGTACTCCCAGTCTTCCAGCTGCGACCCATCCAAGGCGGAATGCAGCAGTCTTCGTGTTAGAGTTTACTCATGAAAGCCCGTTTTACAGATGGAGAAACGGAGGCTGGGAGAGAACAAATGACAGCTATCATTTGAGGTCGCAGCTCAAAATCAGTTCGTCCTGGAAGCTTTACCTCTCGTCCCAGAAGGGTTAGGTGTCTTCTGTGGATTCTCTCAGTGCCATATGTGACCTCTAGGATAGATTTTTTTTTTTTTTTTTAACTCACCTGGTCGGCCTCTGTCTTTACATCAGACTGGCAGCTGCTCTAGGGCAGTAATGGGGTCTGAGTCCTCTCTGTGCCCCCAGAATAGCGCAGCACAGGGTCTGGCACATAATAGGTGCTAGTTTTTATTTTATTTTTTTTTAATTGGTGAACGCAACTGGTTATGACTGCCCCTTCTCCCAGGTTTTTCCACAGCACCATGGGGCTGTGACACAGTCACGCAGAGGCCCCCACTTCCCTCCTCCCTTCCTTAAACAGAGCTCTGGCTCTGGCTCTCTGACATTGCATTTCCTGAGAGGTGAGAGGGCACAGCTGAACCCTGGCTCCTGCTTCCGCTCCAGCCAAGATCTGCCCGCCATGGCTCTGGTGCTGATCCTCCAGCTGCTGACCCTCTGTGAGCCACCCCCACCCTCTTCTCCCTGGGTCCCAGGCTGGTTGGGGTGCAGAGACACAGGCTCTGGGGACCTGGACGCCCTGAGTAGAGAGGGGGAAAGGAAGAAGGCTAATGAGTCTCCCTGAGGGCAGGTGCAGGATGGTCAGGCAGCACGAGCTGAGTGTTCAGAATTCTAGACCAGAATAAGGGGACAGAATTAGATCCTTGGATCCTAACACAGAAGGACACGTGGGTCCTGAATTCCTGTTCCTGGACAAGGAGAGAGTGGGGGCAGGATTCTCTGGGTCTTGAGGCAGGAGGGTGCGGAGGACCCGAACTCCTGGGGATAGCAAGTGTAGAGTCCTAGATTCTGATGTGGGAAAAGGATGAAGCCAGAACACCTGGGTCTCTGGAAAGGAGGGAGCTGGGGATCCAGACTCCTGACCCCCGGGGAGGAGACATTGTGGGCTCAGATTATTGTCTCCTGGAAAAGGTGGAGTCCAAGGGTCTGATCACTGGGTGTAGAGGAAAGAGGGGGTTGTGAAGTAGGTGAGGATTAAGAGCCCCGAGTTATGGCTACTGAGAGAGGACATATGGGTGAGATTCCTGTTTCTCAGAGGAAGGATTTAGATGTCTGAGTTTGCAGTGAGGTAGGACTGGGAGAAGCCTAGGGCTTTGAAAAGACTTAGCTCCTCCACCTTCTACAGGGCCTCTGTGTCATGCAGACCTCACTTCAACTGGTGAGTAATATCTCCCATCCGTTCACCTATAAACTGCTGACAACCCATTTCCAACTATTCAGATTTTATTTTGGTGCTCAGACTCATTCCAGATTTCCAAATTTCCCTCCCTCTCCTCCCTTTTTTCATCTTTTCTGTCCCTCCCTCCTTCCTTTCTTTCCTTCACATCTTACTCCCTTTAGTGACCAGTGTAGGTGAGTGGTGAAGACCATGAACTTTGGAGCTAAAGAGACCTAAGCTGGAACCCCACTTTCACCATATTATTCATTTACAACTTTGAACAAAACGCTGCTTGCTACTCAGTTTCCTTCTCTGTGAAATGGGCTGTTGTGAGGATTTAATAAAATCATCCCTGGCTGGCTCAGTTGGTAGAGCATGCAACTGTTGATCTTGGGGTTGTGAGTTTGAGCTCCATGTTGGGTGTAGAGATTACTTTAAAAAATAAGATAAAAGTATTTTTTAAAAAATGAATTAAAAAATCACATGTGTAAAACCCTTGACTCAAAGCTTGGCATAGTGCAGGGCTCAAGAAATAGGACCTCAGGCAATGCCAAATTAACTCCCCCATTTGGAAGCCCATTTCCCCAAGAGTAGGATCCTCCACCCTGAGACAGCCTTGAGTTTCTTTCCAGGTTTTCCAGTTGGTGAGATCTCTTTCTCTCAGACCTCCCTCATGATACTACAACTTCAAATAAGAATCGCCCGGGGCGCCTGGGTGGCTCAGTTGGTTAAGAATCGCCCGGAAAACCACTGATACCTTAACTATCAATTTATTTTAAATTATTATTTTTAAATGATAAAGCTAACATATATTCATGGTTTAAAAAATGATTCCCAAAGGACACATAACCTCCCTCTTTCCCTTCCTCATCTTCCTTAAGTAAGCTCTGAATCCTTACAAAAAGTTTCCATGCATTCAGACACATACATGTATTTATATACTTCTTTGTTGTCTTGCCAAGGCAAAATTGATATTTCATGACTCACACTGTTCTGCATCTTACATTTTTTCACTTTACAATCTCTCTTGGAGGTGTTTCCATATTATTATAACGAACTCTACATTTTTTTAACTGCTATTTAACATTTGCCATTGTATGGTTGGATTCTAGTTTGTTTGGCCCTCTTGATGTATATTTAGGTTGTTTCCAGTGTCCTCCCCCAGCCCCACCCTAATCAATGCTTCAGTGAGTACTCCAATGTGAGCTTTTTGTGCCCATGTATGTACAGTTGTCTAGGGTGAAACTGTGGAATTATTAGGGCATGCCCTTTGTGTAGTTTGATAGAAAGGGATGAACTGCCTTCTCAAAAGGTGCACTCAAGTGTATCTAACTACCTGTTTCACCATATCTTCACCCAAACAGAATATAAACCATTGTTTTAATTTTTGACAACCTGATAGGCAAAAAAATCTTACTGTTGTTTTCATTTTTTTTATAATGATTACCAGTAACGTTAAGCAACTTACCCCCTCCCCATGTGTTTTCATCCATTGGACTTCCTCTTCTGTGCACTACCTGATTCATATGTCTTGTCCAGTTTTCAACTGGGCTGGGTTTAGGATTTCTTTCTATACTCCTAATCTGTGTGATTAATGAATAAGTCCTTTCTGCCAGTGCTATAGCTTTTTTCTAGCTCCATCTGTCTATTCTCATACACAACTTTAAAATCTTGCAGTCATCAGATTAGTTAACCTTGTCTCTTCTGAATTTTTTGTTTTACCTTTTAAGATAGCTTTCTCTACCCCCAAGACAAATATACTTTCCTATATTTTCTTCTAATACTTTTACAGTAAAACAAAACAAAACAAAACAATGTAGGTCTTTAATTAACCTGGAATTGGTTTTGGGGCATTTGGTCTGGAATTTGGTCTGAGGTTTTTTGTTTTTTGTTTTTTTTTACCCAAATCAATAGCAAGTTCTGGCAACCACTGAAATATGTTGACTTTGTTACAAATAGTCTGAAGAGCAATTTAAAATTACAGATTTCTGGGACCCAATCCCTTGACGTTATGTTTAAAAACCACGGAGTAAAGCTCAAGAGTTGCTCTGCTACTCTAATTTGCAACTAGTCTTGACAATCTTTGACTGGGGTCCGGCATCTCCCCTATTTTACAAGCAGGAAACTAAGGATGAGAAAGAGGCAGGGATTGCCCCAGGTGATTCTCTCCCCACCCCATCTCAGGCTCCCAGGAATCCCAGGGCCCCAACAACCCTGTGTTTTCAGTCCCCCCAGCCTTGTACCCCAAGCCATGGCTGGGGGCTCAGCCTGCTGCAGTTGCAACCCCTGGGGCCAACGTGACTTTGAGGTGCCGGGCACCTCAACCTGCCTGGAGGTTTGCAATCTTCAAGTCTGGAGAGATCACCCCTGTGCTGTATCGGGATGTGTCCATGGAGCTGGCAGAGTTCTTCCTAGAGGGGGTGACCCCAGCCCAAGGGGGCAGTTACCACTGCTGCTACCGGAATCCAGGCTGGAATCTGGGTGTCTGGTCCCACCCCAGTGATACGCTGGAACTGCTGGTGACAGGTGAGGTCCTGGGGCGGGGGGGAGGGGGGGAGAAGGGACTTTGGGGTGTGATGAGGGAGAGAGAAGGAGGGACAGAGAAATACAGGGAGAGAGATACTGAAAGAGACATAGAGAGACAGGCTTGTACAATGACCCAGAGCAAAAAGAGCTACATGGGGAGAGAAAGAGAACCAGAGAAACTGAGGTGATTCTTAACCAGGGACGATTGTGCCCCCCAGGTGAACTTTCTGGTAATATCTGGGGACATTTTTGGTTGTCACTGCTACTAGAGATGCTGCAAAACATCCGGCAATGCACAGGACAGCCCCCATCCTCACCCCATACAACAAAGAATTGTCCAGATTTATCCAAAATGTCACCAGTGAGGTTAGGAAACCTTGGGAGAAACCCAGAAACACCAGATGAAACAATTCCGGAGACGCTGCCTCCGAGATCCAGGGTAGTGAAACGCACAGGACAGGGAGATTAAAACAGGGAGGCGGAAAGAGAATTTTAGTGAGGTTCAGGCCAAGAGAGAAAAGGGGACGTCCAGGGGGAGAGAGGCAGAGACACAGAGAAAGGTGCACTTGGGGACGAAGACATAGGCGGGCGGAGCCAGGCACAAGGATGCAAAGGGCACAGAGACCGACACGGAGGCAGAGAAACTGTGGGAGACACTGGCAGAGATAGAGAGAGACGGGGGGGCGGGGGGAGAGAAGTGCAGAGAGAAGTGGAGGCTGGGGGGCCAGTGGACCGGGGAGAGGGACTGAGGGCGGGAGGGGGGGAGAGGGAGGTGGGGGAGGTGGAGGGGGGGAGAGGGAGGGATGGAGGGGGAGGGGGGAGGGATGGAGGGGGAGGGGGGGCGGGAGGGAAGAGGGGCGAAGGTCCGGGGGCGCAAGGCCGCGCCAGCGCTCGTCCGGGTCCGTGTTCCTCGCAGACCAGCTGCCGCCCCCTTCGCTGGTGGCACTGCCCGGGCCGGTGGTGGCGCCCAACGCCA